TGGTACCTTGGTCACTTGGGCAGCAAACTGGGCGCCATGCAATACTTCATGACAAGTTCAGTGCACAATAGTAAATTATCAATTGGGACTGATCTAGGCAAACAAGCTCTGCATACGCCTTCGAGCTCAACTGACCCAGAAAATGGCCATTGACCTGCCCGGTAATGTGTCTGATCGAGGAATATCATTTAACATGGGCGCAGCTATCATGGGTACAGCTACCACTCACAATTAACTACGACACAACATCGCCAAAAAAGTTTGACCTTGCCAACCACTCCACAAACTTTACATTTCCGTGGCCGCCGCGACCTGCCACCTAATTGTTACACAAAGCACACGTAAGCATGCCTCATCCGAAACCGCAACGATGGCAGCTCGCTCACCGCTCGTTAGTGGTCCGTGGCCCCCAGAAAGACCGCGCCGCAACGATGACAGTTCGTGCCCCGCTCCGTTAGTGGTCCGTCCGTGGCCCCAGAAAGACCGGCCGCAACGATGACAGTTCGTGCCCCGCTCCGCTAGTGGTCCGTGGCCCCAGAAAGACCGCCGCCGTAACGATGGCAGCTCGTTCCCCGCTCCGTTAGTGGTCCGTGGCCTCAGAAAGACCGCCGCCGCAGCGATGACAGTTCGTTCCCCGCTCCGATAGTGGTCCGTGGCCCCAGAAAGACCGCCGCCGCAACGATGACAGTTCGTGCCCCGCTCCGCTAGTGGTCCGTGCCGTAGAGAAGAAAGACCGCCGCCGTAACGATGGCAGCTCGTTCCCCGCTCCGTTAGTGGTCCGTGGCCTCAGAAAGACCGCCGCCGCAGCGATGACAGTTCGTTCCCCGCTCCGCTAGTGGTCCGTGGCCCCAGAAAGGCCCCAGAAAGACGGCCGCCGCAAGGTTTCCTGTGCTCACGGCATGCCTCTGCGGATGCACGGCTACACGTGGCCCGGCCCGGTTCTTGATTGCTGCGGCCCGCGGCGGCGTTTCATCGCCATGAACTACGGAATGCGGTGCAGAGATGAAATCGCCCGGCTCGGAGCGGCTCCACCGTGGGATTTGCTCCGCAGCAGGGCAGCCCGGTTCAACCTTCTGTATCAGCCGCAGCCTTGAAACCCGCCTTTCCCGAGATGCAAGCAGCACTGACGTCTTGCTTTCACTCGTGGCGTGCTCCCAGATGGAATGGGCATGGAATGGGCACGGAATGGGCATGGGATGGGCATGGAACGGGTGCGTCGTCATCTATTACTTGTGCGCGTGGACAGTGCTGCGCAATGAGTAAAACATTCGAACTGGCTCAGTTTGATGGCGCGGATTGCATATCCTCTCTCCACTGAGCGCTCTACATGAGCTGCGGCCCGGAGATGCACTGACGAGCATGAAATGCTTCGAGGTTTTGGGGCCCTCAATGTCCGTTGTAACTCATACCGCACTGAACAGAAGTGCTGGCCTCACAGCCGAATGAGAACATGCTGGGCAGAGCACGAGCCTAGCGCTTTCAGGTTCATTCGCCTGACCCTAGCCATTCATGAAAGGCAAACAGTAGCACTTTCATCGCTTATAAAAAACATCTCCAAATTAACACTCTCACAAACAAACCTACACCCAATCCAGCGATAGCAAAGGAACATGGTGGGGGGGGGGGGGGGGGGAAGCACTCGCCTCTCAAACCTACGGCGTCGCGATAAACGACACGAGATAAAATTGCGTGTTTACCCCCTTCTCCCACTGCCTGAAAGACCCCCCCCCCCCCCCATGGCACTGATGCTGGTTATCTGCACATACGAGCAATGCAGAGCTGCGTCATGTGTCTGACTGTATTATCCCCCGGGTAATGCGCCAGAGTTGCACTGGTTTATGCCTCAAAAACATTTTCTGTTGACGCTAGTCTTTTCACGTCTTCTAAGCCTGTCAGTACTTATGTCCAGTTTTGGCAGATCTGTTGACGACCATTTATCAATCAACTCGACTCAACTGCTGCTGAGTGAATCACAAGTACAAGAGTGAATCACAAGTACAAGAGTGAATCACAAGTACTGACACTAAAACGCTGTTCGCAACGTGGCTGAGAATTAGACAGCAAATAAACTCCTTTCCCATCCACCGTGATTTGGTCTTTCGACTTTCCCCAGGATAACTGTCACTGCTGAGCCCGGCCTGTGCTCGCCGCATGCCGGGACCGATGAGACCTTGTGCCAAGCAAGCCACTTCATCCTGCAGGTATGTGTGAAATGGAAGACAGCCTGTGACCTAATGACAGGCATCAGCATAGCTATTATCCGGATTAAGCCAAAGACTGCATTCCATTAAAGATGGAGAAAATACGCGCCTACTGTCTAACTTTGATCAATTTTCTACTCTTCTAAACAAGGGACAATTTCTGTTGCCACTTCTCAAGCCCGAATCGATTCGAATCAAAACTTGCACAGTTACACAACACGAACGGTCTGCCAAGCGGCATGGCACGGACAGATGCTCGATGTGCGTTGGTTGGCCTGACATAACAGCGTCATGTCCGTGCAATATTGCGGGGACAACCGCCGCCGATCCGACCGTCGCGCGCCGCCGCCGATCCGACCGTGCGTGTCGCCGCCGATCCGACCGTGCGTGCCGCCGCCGATCCGACCGTGCGTGTCGCAGCCGATCCGGCGTGCGTGCCGCCGCCGATCCGGCTTGCGTGCCGCTTCTCACCGGTTGTTGCGCTCGATGACGGTGTAGTAGCAGTATGCCAGCTGGTAGTGGCGGGCCACTTTGGCGAAGTTCTTCACCACGGCCGGCAGGCAGAACCGCAGCGGGTTTCAGCTGCGACGTCACCATGCGCTCGTAATTCAGCGACCTCAGGAACGGCATGTCTGTGGCCGGGAGGGGTGCGGCGGACAGTCAGCTGCCGAAGGACACGTCACAGTGCACGCCACAGCCAGTGGGACGTGCACAAACAAGACCACCGGAAGGGAACACTCCAGTACCAGATGCACGGGTTTTGCCATGGGCTTGTTGCGGGAAATAGTAGGTGCAACGGTAACGGAACCGCTTGCGGCTCTTGCCAATAAAGCTAGATAATATAACTTGTACAACATCCTTCGCTCTCAGCTGAGAACACCACAGCTGCTACCACAGCTCGTCAGTTTCAACTGCTTCGTCAGGGAGCAGCGAGAACCCAGCAGGGGGGGGGTGGGGGGGCACCCCGCCCCGGCGTAGCGCACTCACAGGGCGCGGTCGGCGGCATCTCCGTGTGTGGAAGGCGAACAGTAGAACAGCGTCTGCAGACGGCGTCTAGAACGGCCGGTGCATGGTGAAGTCGGCGCCGCTAGCGGGCGGCGCACGTCATGGCGCGTCAGGTAGCGGTGCACCCAGCCGGCCATCAGCTCCAGCGCCGGACGCACCACACTGCCGACGGCGGGGGGGGGGGGGGGGCAGAGAGCGTCACCACACGTCGGCTGCACGCCGAGCTGCCGGCATCGACGGCCGCCGATACGCACGGTGGCTCGTCTGGTGGCATTGAAGTGGGCGGCATTGCTCCTGTTCATAAACGGTAGGCTGCTTAAACACGAACATGATCAGAACACGCCCGCCATCTGAAGCATCGAGGCAGTCTAGTCGCAGGTGCAGTTTTTGACGCTTAAATCCTTGGGCCCGGCACCAGTTTCGACGACGACCGCCGCACATCACCACTCCGGGAGTGGTGATGTCGGGCGGTGCACTCTGCGCCACTCCGCTTTGCCAGCGGCGGCTCACACGGCACCCGGACGGCGCGGACGCCACGTACTCGATGCTGACGATGTTGGCTCGCCCAAGAACGAGCCGATGTAGCCGGCGGCCGCCTGTCGGAGCACGGCCGGCGAGCGGGGGTTCTCGACCGCGCCGCCACAGCCAGTCGAATTCAGGTGCTCGGCCAGCGGCAGACGGCGGCGGCCAGCCAGAACAGCCAGAACTGAGCGTGCGCTGTGCTCGGCGTGGCAGCGCCAGCTCCTCAAACACCTGCCGGCCGCCGCGCCGTCTCTCAGTACCGTCCTCGGTACGGAGAAGGTACTCGGTACGGAGACAGTAATAATAAGAAATAACGGAGATCTTGCCACGGACACCGGCACCAGCTACCAAAGATAGTAATTAAAGGAGATAACGGCGATTTCGGCACGGAGGCGGCACTCGGTACGAAGGCGATCATGTATGGAGACGGCTCTAGGACGGAAAACGGCCATGGTGCGGACACGGTTATGGTACTGAGACGGCCAACGGCTACGGAGACGGTTATGGTACTGGGAGACGACCACGGTACGGAGACGGGCTATGGCATGGAGACGGCCATGGTACGGGGACAGTTATGGCATGGAGATGGACACGAGCGGAGACGGCTATGGCATGGAGACAGTCACAGTGCGGAGACGGCCATGGTATGGAGACGGCCACGGTGCGGAGACGGGCCATGGTATGGAGACAGTCACAGTGCGGGGACGGCCATGGTATGGAGACGGCCACGGTGCGGAGACGGCCATGGTATGGAGACAGTCACAGTGCGGGGGACGGCCATGGTATGGAGACGGCCACGGTGCGGACACGGTCATGGCATGGAGACGGCCACGGTGCAAAGACGGCTATAGTACGGAGACGGCCATGGTGCGGAGACGGCCACGGTGCGGAGACGGCTACCAGTACGGAGACTTGTCGCGCAGCCGTTCCCTTGGTCTCTAGAGGCGACAGCCAGCTGAGTAGATGATCAAAAACAATGCTATTTCGGGTCTCGTACTCTCGTTCACGCCGGCCGAGCACTCATCGACGACTCAGACCCCACAGAAGCCCGCACGTTTGCCATCAGCCCCTGCATACACGTCTGAGGCTTCGCACGACTGGCCAGTGCTGGTCAGCGCACAGAGAGGGAGCGGCGTCAGATACCGCCTCTCAGGCACGGGCGGCTGACCTTGATCAGGTCGGCGTAGATCAGCTTTGGTGGCGGCCCAGTCCAGCTGCCGGTCGTCGCCAGGGGTAGCAGACCGACTCCATGTGTCGCAAGTACCACCATCATCAGCGCGTCGAGCGTGACGGCCTGTCGGGCGGAGCGTCCCCGGCCGCCGCCAGGCTGTCGCGCGGACACAGCACGTCCAGCTGCAGCAGCCGCCGGTACACCAGCTGGCGGACAGCACACACGCATGTCAGGAGGCACGGACCACCTGCAACAGCCGCCGGTACACCAGCTGGCGGACACCACACGCGCATGTCAGGAGGACACGGACCGCCTGCATCAGCTAACAGACAGTAAAGCCACATCAAGAGACAGAGTCCAGCCGTGGCCAATGGCTGGAACGCCATATGACTGAGAACACGACGCATCAGCCACACACAGGACATTATGAGACATAGTCCAAGCCGCGCCAGCCACTGGTACGCCAACTGTCTGAGAATACCACACATCAGCCCCGCCACACACGACATTATGAGACACAGTTCAGCCGCGCCAGCCGCTGGTACACCATCTGACTGACGTCAAACACATGATGTCCAGCCAGAGCAGTGTGTTACACTTTAGGATTTGGGATGATAAATAATACATGGCGCTTTTTAAGAATAGTCGAAGTGGGGCTCTCAGTTTGGACTCTATTCAGAGATGACTTCGGTCTCCCACTCATGAAGAAGATCCAAATTTCCGCTGAATTCGATGTCGTTCGGGGCTTTGGTGAAAACACGTCGGTGCCCGTCACACCTTTTGCTGAGGCGTTCATGGCATGCTGTCAGGGATCACAGCAGAGCTGCACAAGTCACTGGCACAACCGGGTAGCGGGCAAAACACAAACACAGCTCCTTGAGTCACAGCCCCGTTACACCAGCCCATGGAGAGGCCACTCCGTCAGCCGTCAGAACTGGCCGGTTCCAGACTGGACCCGGGCGAGACCGAACACAGGACCAGACACGCACCCGCAGCAGCTGCGGACGGGCCTGCGGCAGCTGTCCGGACAGCAACAGCAAGCTGCTGAAGTAGGCCGCCTGCTGCCGGGCCGGCCGCTTCACGTACGGCATCCGCTGAGACAGCGTCTGCAGCAGCATGTCGAGTGCCCTGCCGGCCGGCCATGCCCGGCGTCAGTACACGGACGCACGGCCGTCAACGCACGACACGGGAGAAAGGCGAGCCCGGCACCCGGCATGGCACCGCGCGGCGGCAGGGCCACCAGACGACAACAGAGCCACCCGATGGCCGGAGAGACTCCTGATGACGAGAGCCAATGGAACAGCACATAGCTCTTCCATAGCCGCGTGATGGCGGGATCGCCAGCGAGCGGGAGAGTTACGTGATGGGGGAGACAGTTGGTGGCGCAAGACCCACTAGATGGCAGGAAAGCCGTATCGTGGCAAGACGTTCATCTAACAACAGAAGAACCACTTCACAGCCGGAGAGCTAGCGGACGGTGGCGACAGCCCGCCAACAGCGCCTCCCCTGCAGCACCACAGCACACAGGCGGGCGGCGACAGACACGCGGTGCGGCGCACTCACGCAGCGAGAGCACGCAGTACAGCGAGGGGTGAGGGCCGGGCCCAGCCGCGGGGCGGACCGCCGTCACGCGGTTCCGCGCCGCCGCGGCTGAGGGCACCACTCACAGGGGTATGAATGTGCGGAGAATGCCGCAGAGCGACTGGACGGCGAGCGCGGTGTACGCAGCGCTCCTCCTCGGACAGGTCTCCGGCGAGCGGCTCCTCCTTCAGCGGGTCGGCCTCCGACACTGTCAGGGCAGCGCACCCACCCGTCACCGGCTGGCACTGGCGAGTTGGCCCCCCAGCTCCGGAGGAAAAGCCGCCACAGGCGAAAGACAGGGCGCCGGAGAGTGACTTCACCCCCACCACACACACCTCGGTAGATGAAGTTGAGCATTATAATTCTGTGGTGATGTATGTCAAGAATTGGCTAGCACGAGGGTCGGCCCTTTTCTAAGACGTTCTCCACGCCCCTGGGACACAGCGCATCCCAAGATCACCGGCCAAAGACCGGGCAGACAAAGCGCCCGCATACGGTGGAGTGTCATACCCAACGCAGTTACTGACAGGACACGGCGACGATGTCGGCCGCCCCTCGACAGTGGCGCTGTCGAGAACGTCTGATGCCTGGATCTGGTTTGCGGTTAAGGCGTCGGCGCCACGTTCCTGCTACGCCCCTTGTCGGAGGGGAGAAATGGCCTTTTGCAACTGCCCCCCCCCCCCCCCCTACCTCCCCGTACCCGCCACGTTGATACACGGCATGCGTGATAATATTTGACGTGCCAATGCAAACGATGACTTCATTCCGGGACGTAAGCACCACTACAGTGTGCACCTGGAGGCTTTTGTCAGTGCAATCATAACTTTTGTTATTACATCAAATGTCGTTGCAATCAAATACGAACACCACCGCATGGCGCTTCGTTTATAACGACCACACCTATTTCAGGCGAAGGCACATATATAAAGTAATGTGCGCCAGCGTGTGGCTGCCTAGACAAGTTATTCGTAATCGTTTCCTGTGCAGCTAGCGTTCTTTAAGGCATAACACATCTGACCTGATATCCTGTATGACAACGTATGATCTCATTTCGATAAACATCGCCTCCGCTCCATAAATATGCCATCTCATCTCGAAAAATATCATGCAAATCTTTAAAAATCAGGCGAAAACCAGATGGCATTCAAAAAGCGACTGGGTAATTAGTTGCAGTCCGCACAAGGAGCTCCTAAGCGATCTCTATTGAACTCTGGTTGTATTTGTCATGTGCCTTGATACCAAACAGTACCAAGAGACAACAGTGCGACCTCACAATATGCCAGAAATATTATCACAACTTCAATTGGTTCACACATGTGAACTGGGTACACATAAAACAATCACGTGATAAAATAGCAAGAAGACAAACAAATATTACGAAACAATGATTACACCGTCCTTACTGTTGCGCAGTCCATAAATATGGTTCATGCAATGTGGATTTATAATGCCACGTGGGCCACACAGATTATCGTAGTGGAGTGGAACGCTCGCTTGGGATGCAAAAGACATTCGGTTCGAGTGTATGGCATGGATGTATCAAGGCTAGATAATCTACCGCGTTTGCCAGCTCGTCGACTGCATTGTCTTGTGTTATGTGGCCTGATGTCTAGGCAAACACAGGGCACATAGTCATATTACTATCCAGACCCAAAACTGTGAACTGCTGTTTTGGTGAATGATGTGCATCAATATACCATACTCAACTGCCGTGACACAGTACCTCAGCTTCTGCACGGCGTGCGTCTCCAAGGGACCCTGGTCTCCCTTCACAAAGAGTCGTGTTGGTGGAGGCGCCGTGGCAAACTCACCGAACTGCAGCGCGTGGACGAGGACTTTGATTGCGTCGCTGGCGCAGTGCGGCTGAGTGGTGGCCAGCAGCACGACCAGAGAGAAGAGTAGCGGCGCAGCGGCCGCTCGGGCAGCCGATGCCAGCTGCAGGCCAGCACCGAGCGCACCAGCGTCACGTGGCGCTCGCCGCACAGCTCGCCAGGCATGCTGGTGCAGCTGCTCCAGCACTTCGGCCAGTTGGCTTGTCTGAAACACGCACGTACGCCTGCAGCTGACGAAGCGCGGCAGAGAGTCCAATGACCCGACCGCAACACCCCGCTAGCGTACGTCGTGAGCAGCAAAAACAATCACGGCATGTCACAGCCATACTAAACTGCAGAACTGGCACTGCCATCTAGAGAGGACAATGAGTTTACCATATGTTTTTCCCTCAAAATCGATGGTTAATTAGGCCATGGAAAAATGTCCCAAGAAAGTTATAACCTGAAAAGGACCAGTAGTTGCTGGCATGCCCCAGTATGCAGACCTGATTATGAGATGTTATCTACATTATGGATGGCACCTACTTAAAGCACTGCCGCCAAAATGTAGTTATTTTAAGGGTTGAAATGTTGCAAGAAAATGAAAGTACTAACCTGCATAACTCCCTTGGATAACTCTGAGCACAGCTCATCATAACTATGTGAAAAGCCACTATCTACCTCCTTCAGCACAGTCATTAGGTCAAATGGGACTGAGTCTTCAAACTTCACAGACACCTCCTTTTTGACGGCATTGGATCCACGCAGAATCCCAGCCTGAATCAGGCGGTCAGAGCCATAACACTGCAAACAGGCACAGCTGATTAACACACATACCAAACAATCAAGCAAACCTGGTTCAGTGCAGACCTACATAAATGTCTGAAAGCAGCAGGCCAGCCAAAACATTTTCCAATGATATTTTTTGGTAAGATGAGCAGAAAAAACTATCACATGTTACATTTCAATGTCAACAAAATATCAAAATACCAAAATATTCCTAACTCTACATTCTGTTTTCATCTGTAACATTACTGCCAGCATAATGCCATGATGCAAATATCTTTGCCACAAACTTGCCTCATAAATCCTCAATTGACAAGCAACTTTCCACAGACCCGCTATTTCAGGACATGCAATAGCAACGCCAAGTCCCGCACTCAGATGCATCATGCACTGGTACATGCACACTCAGATACATCATGCACATGCACTTGAACCCAGTGAGATGTTTGCCCAAGATCACATCACTTTAAACAATTGTTAATACTTTTAAAACAAAGATCTTTGAATGCTTAACATCAACAATGCATGAATACTATTTGGCTTTACTGTACTTCTACTTGTCATGTCTCCATGAAATGAAATATTGTTTCAATCTGATAATTTTGTTTCAGCACAATACTATGATTCCAGCCCAACAGTATTCATACTGCAGAGTTGCATACTGCAATCAGAATCTATATCAGCTTTGAAATTTCTTCAGCCATATACTGTGAGGCTGTTTTTCAGGTGACAATTACACTGATCCATGTGCAAGTCAAAATTATATTCAAATGCAAAGGCAGGCAGGCCAACTATGCACTAAGGCAACATTTGCCAGTCATACATGACTTTGGCTCCAAAATGGATGTGCGTGCTCTTCAATGTGCTGGAACTTTTCTGGGTTACCTGTGGTAACCTTTCAAAGAGAATTTGCAAACCAAAATCCTGACCACTCAAGTAAGCCCATGCATGAAGTTGTAAATGAGGTTCATATCTCCCTGGTTCCCTTCTGCACTAGATCAGGATTGCTGGAAAATCACGATCATATGCTCTGAAGCCTGCATTCTCTACAACAGTAGCTACCTAGCTGAAATGCAGATATCCACTTCTTTAACAACTCATTATTCTCTTCTTAGACACCAAGTCCAAGCTGTTCAAATGCATGGATCTCTGGGATACAAACCAATGCTACAGATTACTTGTGGTGTGAATCTTGGTTCTACCAGTCAGCCACACAATCCCAGTTCAATTGCAGACCTAGTGATACAAAACAGCTGGATAATATGCTGTTGAACCCAATGTGCTGGATACCCACAGTACATTGGTGTGCTTCACTTGGTGCTCACATGCAACACCCATGCCATGCCAGACCTTCCCAATTTTTAAAATTACTTTTGCCAACAAGTTTTGGAGTATATCAGCCCACTATTACATTTGCAACTTTCAATTGCTTGAAAGATCAGACTTTTAAGATTAAATTGATGGAGACCATGCACCAAACGCTGAGTGTTTGGATTTTCACATACATGATACATGGTCTGAGACTAATCCCGCAATGTCGCAGCTATCCTGGATGTTAGACATTACATGAACACTTTGCACCTCTACATCCCACCATCAGGACAGTAGACAGAAGGAATCGATTGGTGAAGGTTCCATGGCGATCGGACGAGCCGTTTCGGAAAACTTGCGCGCCTGCACCATATACCGGTATTTTAGACCATACCTGAAAACCACAGCGGGGCCCAGAAAGTAGTAGCTTTACTCTTGTACCCTTAACCGGGCCCACCCGAACGTGATATGGAACAACCCGCAAAACATGAACGTGCGAGGGATTCTCGCGAAATCAGCAACCGCGCGTGAAAAGTGTTCCACTGAGGCAATGCTAGCGCAATTGGATTTTCAAGGGTATCAAGGATGTGCACTAGTCATAGCAGATATAGAACCTCTTCTTTTCTTCTGGGCCTCGTAAGTCTATTTGCATGAATAACATTCAACATTGCACTTGCTGACTGTGTATTGTATTTGGCAATTCCCCCGCCGTGATTCGCTCTTTAATAACGCGTGCTAGAAGGGAGCAGGAATTTGATGAGATCCTTCAGGCGTTTTCAAACTGAAGAGATAGAGCCCCGCAAAAACACCAGCGACTTGGTCGCAATGAGATCGAACGATTTGTTGTTGTTAATGGGTCAATAGTTGACCGCATTAAACCAAATATAAAGTTAATTTTCCCTGAAATCGCACTTTTCAGCTTAGCATATCCATATCTATGCACGCATGCCTACGTGGCGGCGATGAAATATAGGCAGGTGACTGCAACGTTCCTCGTTTAATTCTGAGCACATTGGCATTTATGATGGAGGTCTTCATTAATGTAAGAGTGTCGGCTAGCTGCGTGCGATGGGTGGATTTGTCGGCTGCCGTTTGCCGCCTGTGCCGTCGACAATCGGGCAATGTTAAAATCGTGTCCCTCATGTATGTCCTCGGTATGGATTCCAGCCAAATTAAAGATGTACGAATTTGGTGGGGGGGGGGGGGGGGGGGATTTCCGCTGGGGCGCAACCAGGGGTACAGTTCCAATTCAGTCTAGGGGATGGGAATGATGCACAACTTGGGTCAGCCCCCGTCCAACTTTGAGAGAGAAGTTGGCCAAATTCTGGGAGAAACCCGTTTTGGCGAGCTTTGGGAGAGGTTTCATAGTTTTTGACGGTTTATCCCACCAACTCACTCTGCAAAAACTATGCCTCTGGACACGATGGTCTACATTGCTCGTGAAAGTTCAAAGTGACTTCTTAAGAGCTGAACGATGGCATCGTCAATTTTTCTGGGCTCCGCATTATCTGGTCACCAATCAAAGCCACCCCGCCAAAAAAGCAACTAAGTGTTGGCTTATAGGTAAAGGAAAAAAGCAGAGGAAGGGGTGGCATTTTTCAAAAAATTGTAGCATTATGCGTTCAATTACCGGCATCAGTGCCTGTATCAATGCGGAAAGAACTCATACACAGTCAATGCAGGCAATGTGTGGGCAAATAAAAGTGCGTTTGTTACGTGGGGAGATTTCCATTATAGCGTATCGTTAGACAACTCGTTTCTTGATTTTTCTCCCTTCACTCTTAGGCGGCATTCCCCATACTGGCCACCATATGTGTTACGCGCAGTTTTCGTAATACATCGTAGCCGTCGTTTCCTTCAACTCGGTTTTCCGTTTGCCCTCCGCGTAACAAGGAGTACTGAGTTCTACATGTTTTCAGCAATATCGCCATGCTCACCCGACGGATTTCTCACTGACACCAAACGGCAATCACGTGATTCCCAAAGCCTAGCTTGCATAAAAGCAACAAGCGCCGTGACTGACTCAATGATTAGACAAAGTTTCTGCAGGGTTTTTGAAGTTACGTACTCGCACGCGATGTCGTCAAATGCATATTGCTATGCATACCTTCTAGAGGTAGTGACTGTACTCACCAATAATCAGTCTTACGAAAGGAAAGCTCCTTGGAAGTGATCATCTACGGGCAATAATCATATTTGCTTGGATCAAATATACATGCCAGTGGTTATTGGCGGTTCTTGGCTAGATGGCCCTCTGTACTGATCTACAGGTAATTGCCAACGGGGCGATTCCCTGTAATAAACCAACTTACTGGGGCGACTGCAAATGGTGGCGAAAACATTGGCGACATTACACGCACCGATATTACACGGACTTTTTTCGAAACAGACGTTTCTGTCCTAACACGGGCAGCAACCGTCACTTTACTAGGATTCTGCAACTACATTTCATACATTCGCACTGTCTCATCCATGCCTATCACCGGTCATAATGTAGGAAGGCCCTTACTGTGGTCGCTGCACACAGTCCGGGCAGGTTATGTGCAGCGATCAGACCCCCTCAATTAAGAGCGGAGCCTCACAGCCATACACCACGCATACCTCGGACTTTGTCCCCAGTAAATAGCAGCCACCTGGCTGTGAATGCCACCAGCCACCCCTGGTAAATAGCAGCCACTGCGGCATCACCATGTAGCTCCCACCTTCTCTCGTCACAGAATAATGCCGGAATATCTCATCGGCACGCCGAAATCCCTCATCGGCTTATCCCCAGTCACCGGAATCCTCATGGCACGCCAGAGTCCCTCATCGGCTTATCCTCAGTCGCCGGAATCCTCACGGCACCCCGGAGTCCCTCATCGGTTTATCCTCAGCTCCTGGAATCCTCATCAGCACGCCGGAATCTCTCATCGACCCTTACTATTTTGTCGCCGGAATCACACCTCGGCACGGCGGAATCTCTCATCGGCTCACACGTGCGAATCTCGCCTTCTGGAGTCGCTGTAATGGTTCTAACAACGGTACCCTTAATGACCGAATTGCTTACTACTTGCACTTGCCTTACTCCGACGGGGTCAGTGTTTTTAAAGCCCCCCCCCCCCCCCTCCACATCCCTATTAATCGTCTATGGGGACTTGGCGCATATGTCCGGAACGAGCACTCAGGACCAAACGTAACAAACAAAAACCGTACTCGCACATTGAAAAAACAGCACGTGGTCCGCGGCAGAAAGATGCGCCGCGCGCTACACGTTGACTACCAGCGTGGCGCGCCGTGTATGTATCCGCCGCGGGCCACGCGCTGTTATTCAATGTGCAAGAAGGTCATTCTCGCGATGTGCATATTTTTGTTATCCGGGTGTGGGACTGAAAAGGTTAGATTCAGATTGGCGCTCTGCGTATTTATCCGCCGCGGGCCGCTTTGCCGTTTTTTCCTAAGTGCGAGCACGGTTTTTGCTCCGGACATTCGCGCCAGGACGATCAAGTGGGGAGCGGCCCTTCAAAACGTCAACCCTGTCAGAGGCAAAACAAAAACAGAGTGGAGTACAGTCATAAACACCGTCAAAGTAGGCTGTCGGAGGGCCATTGAAACAGACAAGGTGTTGAAAGACCGTATCGGCCTGGCGCGCCGACGGGCGGGCGCTCGGTGCCTTCACCTCTCCAAAATGTAAGCCCGGCGGAGGAGT